TCACAGATCAAACCCTGAAACAACCTCTGGGCTGATCAAAGTCAGGGCATGGCTAACTCACAGATCAAACCCTGAAACAACCTCTGGGCTGATCTAAGTCAAGGTACAGCTAACTCACAGATCGAACCCTGAAACAACCCTCTAGGCTGATCTAAGTCAGGACATGGCTAACTCACAGATCGAAATGAAATTTAGCTCGTTAGCTTTGTACGAAATTCAGCCAATTAACCATATGACATTATGGCCTTGAAGAACTTTCTTGAAGACAACGTTTCTCGAAAAAGTCGAAATGCTTGTTTCTTGTGCGTCTATTGCATACACGTTTTATTTAAACGATTTGTCATTTAACAGTGTATCTCTCAGTAAATCTCAAGTATACCTAGGATGCTTTAATGATTCTTTGTTTTCAGGTGTCTCTTGCCACATTTTGTGTGTACACATTATCAGGGAACGAGCTGACAGCAACTAAAGCTTTTGTAGCGATATCTTTGTTTAATATTCTTCGCTTCCCGCTCTCTGTGTTCTCTAGAGTTGTTGGGAATATTATACAGGTGAGAATGATCCTAATGTATAGTTATGGGTACCCTGTGTCACCAGCTGATGAGGGGGGTTGGGATCGAGGGGATGGGGGTTGGGGACTGGAGATAACAGATTTTGTCATCCCAATTTTGTGATCATAAAACCCTGTAAGTTAATGGGGACGGTATAGCATTTGTATCTATTCTTGGGGTGCATTTTACGTCATAGCCGCCATGTTGGTTGATGATAAAGCATTCCTCATTAGTTTCCCTTGTTAGATCAACCAATAGTTGCGCATTACGGATATGTTGTGTATGGATGCTGGTTCGGGACTGCGAATCGCTGAAACTCATGGCATATTTATATATTTTATTTCAGGCACAAGTTTCCCTTGCTCGGTTAAATGACTTTTTGAATTTAGAAGAGAAAGATCCTGAGAATGTCCTGCATGTCATGCCGGAACATGGTAAAAAGATTTTATTGTTGGCTCCTGTCGTTGTTGTATATTGTATGTTGCTGTCATAGGGGTGACGATGGGTGTGGTTGAGGATGGGGGTGGGCGTGGGCGTGGTTGGGGTGAGGGGAGAGGGAGAAGGAAAGTGAGGGTGAAGTAAGGAAGTAACGTTTGGGAAAGGAATGAAAAAAAATTGGTTACTTCCCTTCGTTGCTGACCCCTCCCCCCCGCGCGAATATTCTTTTCATCATGTTATGTTTATAATTATTCTCAAGATAATACAACTATTTTATTTTTCAGTTCATGCACAGGCAGTTCACGTGGAGAACGGAACCTTTTCTTGGGAACAAAATGGTCAACCTGTATTAGAAAAGTGAGTTCAAGAGCTTCATTACACCCCATTTTCGTCATTACGTACGAGACCCAGGAAACCAGAACGTGCGTCATATGACGTGTCAGCACGCCGGCCTGTCTGTAGAGCGCGCCAGTCTGTCTGAACTGGAAGCACAGAAGGCCTAGCGGTGAGAGCGCTCGCCTCTCACCATGCAATGCGACCCGGGTTCAAGTTCCGTGGGGCTCGATGTCATATGTGATTAGAGTGGCTTGTTGATTCTCTCTTGTGTTTCATAGGTTTTTCTCCGGATTCTCTAGTTTCCTTCTATCCGCAAAAATCAACTTCTAAATCCTAATTGGTATTTCAGTGGATGAATTGCCCACTGTGTCTGTGGAAAGCCACTGCTGAATCCCATTTCATTTATAGAGCCCATCACCTCTCACCYACCGCACCTTGCCTTTTATACACAATAAAGTGCTTGTTTTTTTTTTAAGCATAAATCTAAATATTACCAGTGGATCGCTAGTAGCAGTAGTTGGACAAGTAGGCTGCGGCAAATCTTCTCTATTATCAGCTTTACTGGGAGAAACAGAGAAATTGGATGGAATGGTCTATGTTAAGGTAACAGTGACTAGAAATCGGTATCCCTGTGGTGGGGTAGATACAAATCCAAACGACATTGTTGGTAAGATCGTGTCATATATCGAGTAGGAAATCGTAGAGGCAAACAGCGCAGAATCCAAAAATCATTTCCAGGTATTGACGTACCGTGCCGCGACCATGAAAATACCGTTCGCCATCACTTTGAATCGATAAGAATTAAATTGAGATTGACTCAAAGGATAATGTAAATTTCGTAACGCTTTCGTGGTCCAGAGGTTTGTGGGGCAGAATAAGGGATGTTATACAATAGAGCTTTTGATCTCACCCACCCTCAAATTCAACCCCTCAATTCCATGTGACAAGTTGATCGTCAAGATTCTGGATGATCGTCAAGAGTCTTCGGAACTTCTGAAAGGTGAATGAGGGAGAGAGAATTTTTGTTCGTCCACAGGGCACCACGGCATATGTTCCCCAGCAGGCCTGGATTCAAAATGCGACTGTGCAGGAAAACGTCCTGTTCGGTAAGATGATGGACACTAGACGGTACAAGGAGGTTATCCGCGCATGCGCCCTACAACCTGATCTCAAGGTCCTGCCGGCAGGAGACTTGACAGAAATTGGCGAGAAGGTGAGGGTTTAGTTTTTCTTTAGCATCGGGTTTACGCCACCCGTGTTTCCCATACCCGCCTGTCTACATACAGTTACCGTTTGTTTCTTTACTAAAAGATGCTACAAATGCAAATGTAAACGACGTGATATACTACTCTCCCCAGGGCATAAACTTAAGCGGAGGTCAAAAACAGCGCGTAAGCCTGGCACGAGCCGTGTACTTCAACGCTGATGTCTATTTGTTGGACGATCCGTTGAGTGCTGTAGATTCACACGTGGGAAAGCATATCTTTGATAAAGTACTAGGGCCGACTGGACTCATTCAAGACAAGGTACGACGTGTATCCATCATTTGAGTATTTTTCGTTGCGTGAAAACTTTAAAGTCCAAACGTGCCGTGTCGTTCTGTGCCAGGTTCTGTGTTCGAGGATTCTGATTGGATGAAGTGAAATCTCGCGCGCTGTGATTGCTTTAGAGGATGTCGTTTATTCCTTACCGTGAGTGAGTGTGCCGCGTGCCGCTCCGTTTCTTAGTCATACCACATCAACTCTTGCTAGAGCAGAATGTTTACGGCCGTGAAAAACTTGCGATACGAACGTGATGTGATGGTACTATGTTCGAGCATTGTGATTGGATGAGCAGTGTCAGACCCAACGACCTTTTGCTTTCTAAACGGAGTAGTGAAAGTGAGGGAGGCTCGGGTCAAACGTCAAACTTCACATGAGCCGAACCTAATTGAAACAATGGATAACAAGGTGGTCTCCTCTGATGTCTTTAGGCTCGATTCGGGAAGTTTGACGTTTTACCTCAGACTCAAGTCTCAGCTGAATGCAATTATCACTTTTGCAGTTACTTTATAATTATTTCATTGCATTTTTTAGACGCGTATCCTCGTAACGCACAGATTGCAATACTTGCAGCATTGCGACCAGATAGTCGTACTACAGAATGGGAAAATATCCGAGGTAAGCCTCATGCAATGTTAATTATAGTTTATAAATAAGAAAAGCGCAATAAGAATTCATAAAATTCTTTTTCTCTTTCAGATCGGTACGTACAATGAACTGGTTGCTAATCAAGGAGCTTTCGCTGAGTTTCTTAATACTTATAAAAATGGTAACGGTAACGGTAATGGCAAGGGATTCGCTGGTACTGCAGGCAAACATGAGGCTGACTCAAACGGTATGACTTGAAAGACCATGGTTACCAGAGGTCTTCTTTTTCTTTATCTTTTTCTTTTTCTTTTTCTTTTTCGTTTTCTTTTTCGTTTTCTTTTTCGTTTTCGTTTTCGTTTTCGTTTTCGTTTTCGTTTTCGTTTTCGTTTTCGTTTTCGTTTTCGTTTTCGTTTTCGT